GGTATTTGAGCTTTCTTGTAAAACAAGACTTTTTTTTTTTTAAAAAAAAAAAAGAATGTCAAAAAATCTCACATGCCTTCTTCTCAGATTTCACCTTTTATCTCTTCTATAAATTTTTTTAACTAAAAAAGAAGACTTAAGTCTTTAATTATCAACACTAGTTTTTTGGTAATGCCGCCATTAAACATAAAGGGCAAGATCTAACTTGAACCCACAAATTAGATGGAGGAAAACAACAGGGTTAAATGTGTGTGTATATATATATATATATATGTATGTATGTATAGGTGATTATTATATGGATGCACCCCAAGTTTGAGATGCAGAGGTATAAATTGTTTTTTTTTTTTTTTGGGTTCTAGGCATAAGATCGTGTGGGACCTATAAACAGATGTTATGAAGAAAAAGTAGCATATTCACGGTAGAGACAATTGAGTGATTAACTGGTTTAAATTATTATTTTGGTATTTTAATGATTCCTAACGTTATAATTATTTACTAAATTATTTATATATATATATATATTTTTTGGAATTTATTTCAATTCCTAGACCTAAATGTAATAATTATATTATGTCACAAGATATGAATAATTTTTATTATTTCTACACACACAAAAAAAAAAAAAAAAATAGAGTTATTAAAAGATGATAATTTTATAAGTTGGAATAAAAAAGTAAAAATTGAATTGGTAATTAAATTAATAATTTACTACTTAAATTATTATTAAGGATTTTACTTGTATACAGCAGACATTTCCACGTGCAGCTTGGGGAGCGAATATGTGATGGCATATTCTTCTTCGGCTGGAGGAAACCAAAAATAAATAAATAATTAAACAATAATAATATATAGAATTTACCATTTTTTACATTATGAAATATACAATTTTCTTCTAAGGGACCAATTAAGAATGTTGTTAAATTATTCATTGGGTCCAACTTAATTTGGTATTTTTTTTACCATATACATATTTATTGAAGAATATTTCTATCTCAATCAATCAACCAAGGATGATCAAAGTTCTACTGAGGTTAGGTTGTTTCTTTTAATACAAAAAAATAAAATATTTCAACATATTTTAGATAATATAATATCTTTTTTTAATATTTTTATTTCTCATTTATTTATTTTTAAAAAATATATTCTTTTTCTCCAAAAAAAAAAAAAAGTGGTATTCTCAGCTGGCCAAAAGATTTAATTAATTAATTTTTGAATATAAAAAATACATATTTTTATATAATGTGTAAATAAAATTATGGAGGCAAAATCCGCTGAACCATTTAATAATCTCTCTCCTTCTGGTGCTTGATAAATATTACACCGTTATTTAATAATTATCCAACAATCATTTAATATGATTATCAAATATTTTTTGACTATAATTATCCGACTAAAATATTTATTTTTCATTAAAACAATAAATTGTGAAATTATTTACAACGTAAATTCTTAATTACCTTTTTTTTTTTTTCTTTTCCTCATCTAATTAATTCTACAGATATATGATACCTTTTTATATCATTACTACAGTTCTTTTTTATTTCTATATATTTTTTAAACATAAAATAATATTTTTATAATTTTTTTATATGATTATACAAGTAATAGTATTTTTATGTAATTAATTTTTAATTAAATATAAATTCTAATTTCCTATTTCTTGTCTAATTAATTCTACAGAATATCTTACTAAAGATTAAGATAATATACCCTTTTATATTTGTTCTTATATAATTTTTTTGTTAACATAAAATACTATTTTAATAAAATATGCACCCCTGAACTGACCGTCATTTCACCGCCTTTTCTTCCTTCTTTCCTCTGAAATTTATTTATTATATTATTAAAATCCCTAAACCCTAATGTTTCGCACGTGCGTAGCATTCTGTTGACACGCACGCCACCCCCACCCCCCCCCTCTCTCCCTCTCCCTCTCCCTGTAATGGAATTCGATAATTCCACTCTCTTTTAGGCCACTCTTTCCCTGTCCCTCGTATTTATAATTTATGTGCTTTTTCGATTTTCCTCTTTCTCTCTGAGTCTCTGCCTCCGCTCCCTCTCTCGCCGGCGCCCAAAGCCCTAAATCCTCTCAATCTATTGCTCGAACCCTCATCACCTGTCCGTACAATCTCCTTTTCCCATGATTATATCAAATCAATCCCAGTTTTAAGGTAAATCCCGTTTAATTTTGAATTTCCTGTTTTCTTTTTTGATTCATGTTTCCCACATCATTCATTTATCGGTTTTCAAGTTGCATGCCACGTTTGGTTGCTGATAAACTGCGAATAGGGAAATCAAATCGATGAATTTAGTCAAATTTTTTTTAAAGAGAAGTCAATGAGAATAAACTCTATTCACCTGAATCCAGTGCATTTCTTTCGTTTATTGGAGATCAAATTTGGACGTTTTACCAATTTGTTAATTATTGTTTTTCGTTTACTATTTTAAACTTCGAGTTTCTCGGTAACAAAACAGCCCCTACAGCAAATTCCCATCTCTTCTCTGGGCTACATATTTTGATTGTATACATGTGATTATTTTGTGGTGTAATTCTCTTTCTTCCAGCTTATACGATACCTGCAAGATTTCTTTTTGGCTACTGGTTATTATCTTTTAATCATAAATCTGTTCTTAAAATCTTATCTTTTCATTTGTGTTTTTCTATTCCTGTTATGTATATTTAGTTTTACATTTCTGTTTATCCATGACAAACTTAAACAGAAAGGTGTTTCATTTTCAAACTCAGTTAATTGGAATTTGAACGAGCATGTAGTTTTAGGCTTATTTAATCGAGTTTATTTTTTATTTTTTATTTTAAATAAAAAGTGCTTAATCGAGTTTATTTCTTGTTAAGGGATCCTTCCCCTCCCGCCCCCCCCCCCCGGAAAAAAATCCATTCACTGTTTGAGTCAATGGAAGGGTGAGCTTGCTCAAAGATGTATTATTCTGAATATTTTCAGCCTCCAGTTTTTATTAATCCATCTCTTTACTTGCCCACCCATATACATCACAGATTCATATCATTTTGCAGGTCTGCTTCTTGCTTATTTTTAATTGACTTCTGGATGTTTGCATTTTAACCGGACCATCTCACAGCAGGAGAGCATTCTGATTTTTAGATGTTACGTGTTCCCTTCTGATTGTTTTTCACTTTGTGGTTTGTCTTGTCATTCTTATTACATGCAAGTTAAGAGAATGAATTGCTGAAGAATGACTCATAATAAGCATACAGTTGGCTATCAATAACTTAAGGTTGTTCGCTACCTATGAAGATCACATGTTTTTTTCTTATCAACAAGTTTCGGAATTACTTTGATGCATCAATTTATCATTGTTATGTGGGATTGTTAGCAGTTCAAAATTAAAGGAGTTAGTTTAATAATAACCAGATTTTCTTCATGAATGTATGGTATTGATTCAATTAACTAAATGGATATTGGTTTGATGAGGCTAAATGCAGATAATTCTCTTTGAAACAGGATGATTGACTGCGGGGATGTCATTGTGGTAATATATAGTATTCTCAAATTCGTCTTCCTTGCTGCAACTGAGTGAACAAAGTCTGGGTAAATCTATCTTTGTAGCAAATGGACCGCTGTGATACTTCTGGATTTGTCAGTGGGGGTGGCATGGACACTTCCAAAGACAACTAGTTCTGCACCGAAATGAAAAGAGGACAGCTAACCATTAGTTTTATGGCTAACATTTTTTGACCTGGAAGTCAGGTAGGTTGTTATTGCAATTGTGATTTGGTTTGGAAATCACTGTGGCACTTTGGATATAGGTATATGGACGCCAGATTTCAGAACATTGGTTTTGCTGGTATTTATTCTCCAAATGTATTCAAGATTTTGGGCAGTTCAATGAAAGTTGGAGGAGCTGGGTCTGAGCATGGAGCAGATACCATCCTGCGTCTTGATTCCCCTGTTTCTTCAACCCCTTTCATGTCTGCTTCGAAGGGAGTCAAACGGAAATGGAGTTTGATTGATTCGTCAATGGGCCAGCAAGTTGGCTCTGCACTATCTCTTGGGCTTGGCCGTTCATCAAGTTCCTCTGATAGCAAGGGAAGTTCTGCAACTGGTTGCACTACAATTTCCTCAGCCAAAGAAATTGATGAGGAGTCCTCAATGGACATTGAATTGGACTTTACTCTCCATCTTGGCAATGAGAAGATTCCCAGCCCCAAAAAGTCTGCCAATTCAAATTCTAAAGGTATTGTAATGCAGCCAAGGGTGGACCTGGAGTTGAGTCTTTCCACAGGGCCCTCTGAATCTGATATTACTATTTTTCATCCAAGTTCAACTCCTCTTCAATGTGCCAAAAAC